CTGTTTCTTGGGGAGGGCTTATATTATTTGCACACATGCAAATCTTCGCTTAGCTTTCACTAGACAATGAAAAAGGATGAGTTAGTAGACAGAGCTTAGGTTGTAATTACGTACTACTATTCCTTTGCGTTAATTATATGCAATAATACTGGAAAGAAGGATTTTTTCAAATTTCTAGATTTTCCACAACAAATTTCATTTACTTCACCATGGAGAATCTTCATTGCTTATCGTTTATAAACTTTACTTACTGAAAAATCAAGAAGTCCTAATGATTTGTAACATCTTTGTTTTCAAAGAGCATTTGCAATAGAATTATGCACGTCCTTTGCTCAAACCTGTTTCGATGTTTCAAAGGCCTCAAAAAATTCTTTCACTAAGCATATTTTCTACTGGTTGATGCTAGCTACGCGTTTGCCTCATTGTCTTTCAGAGGGATAGCTATTAGCGAAAGACTTTTTAGGAATGTGCAAGGGTCTCAAGTTTCTCCTCCTTGTATCCGCTTTATCGATCACTGCGAAACTGCCCGAATTCAAAGATATTGTTCGGCAACGAAAAGAAGGCAATAACATTGCTCAGGTCAAGCAGTATCACCACACAGCTTTTGAGAAAACTACTTTCCTCATTAAGATTTAGTGTCCCTGCGTGATCCATCCAGAAAGCGGTCGCTGCTTTGTCTACAACCCAATGTATCAAGCCGTCAACGTCGAGGAGGCCATGTTCACCTTTCCAGACTTGACAATGCACGTCTACCCTGAAAAAGTTGGCAAACCTTTGCTGTACTACAGAAAATATAAACGTCGCTTCTAGGTTGGGGATGTTGCATCGTACACTTGCACAACCACAGAGTGTCAGCAGTGCTTCAGCCTGCTGTACTATCAGCTACTAGACAATGGTTTAATTGAGAAAACTTTCAAGTAAGTTCTGCCAATGTACTGATATTAAATGTATAGGTTATGTATTTAGGCCTGCAACTCGTCCTCTTGAACGGAATGCCCTCCGACCAACGCTTTGTCCTCGATATACCTTTCTGAGGGAACCAAAAGTCAGTTGACAATGTTGTGAGCAGAATGTTACTGGCGCAAAAAAAAGAGAGCAAGAATGAAGCATGCACTTTCTGAGAGGCAGGTATCTCTTCTGCTTCAGTGTTGCTAAGATTAAGCTTTAGATTCCTCCAGCACCAAAAAATGTGCCTCCATATGTCAAAACTATGATACAGCATGGCCTACAGATCATTAAGAAAGCCTTGCCACAGGTAATGTTTGCTTTTTTTTTCTTGTTTCACTCAACACTTTTACCGTTTTCACTATTCCGTAGGAATACTCTTCTTTATTACTTTGTTTTCCACCAGCTTTCAGATACAGTGGCTTTCAAAACTTATCCACGGATTGCCCCATAAAATGCGATCTGTTTGGTTTACAAACTGTGTTTTCACTCCTAATCTGGGCTCTAAACAATTTGGCACTGCTTTGAATTTTCCACTTGTAAAAGTCGTTACACTTTTCATTACGGTAGGACTGTAAGGTGGGAACCACGATTTTGTAGTAGACAATGGCGTGGAATACTCGTTTGTTTACACGTGCAGCAGTAGAAAAAAATGGACAATATATTAAGCTG